GGGAAGGAAAGCTGCAGCTGCTCAGCCTGCTGGCTTGTTGGATGTGAGTGGACCAAAGCTATCCCTGGCCACGGCATTTAGCTTACTTTGAAGACTTAATTGCTTCTCAAAAAAAAAAGTGTCAAAGGCTTACACAGCTTTAGTTTGCAAATTTAATTAAAGGATTAGCAAAGTTTTCTTTTCCTACGTGGAAACTATTAAGAATAGAAACTTGCATAGAAGATCAGTTCATTTAATATAGCTACTTATTGCATTAATAGAGTATTTGCTTAAGTAAAGTATTGCAAATAGACCACAGTATTTAATTTTATACAGAAATACTTTCACAGCGAGCCACAATGAAATGAGATTAACTCAAAGTCTGCATAAAACATAACCAAGGAGAATATAAACACCAGAGATAACAACCAGCTGGGAAGAGGGAGGTCTCACTGACACCATGCCGCTTGCCATGTGACAGTCTAATAGCTGGGAATATTCTTGGACTGCACAGAAAAGCCAGGTCAGTATACCTTGGTGTTGTGTATTTTGTGTTATTAAAACTTAATTACTTTGAGATGAATTTTGAAAATCCAGATTACAAGTCTTATCACTCCTGGGTGATGCATTTTTCGGGTAGGCTGACTTAAGCCAAGAGAAAATTGTTGTTTCAGAGCCTTCTCCTTAAGTATCCCCCCTCCCCCGCCACCTTTGATTACTCTTACTGAAGCACTTGTTTTTCCAGCAACTTTGAGATGTTTCAGGCACACAGGGGGGCTGACAAGCTGCCTAAGTTAGCACATCGAAGTAGAGATCTAAGGAACAATCTTTAACCTTCTCACTTGCAAAACAAATATTTGCCCAGTGTATCCCATCTGCAGTTTTGTCCCCCGTGGTGGATCAACTCACTCTAACCAGAGGACAGACCTTTCCCCTCTCCCTTCCTTCCTGGCAGTGGGAATCTCAGCTGACTAAACAGCCCAACCCTCAAGGGTGCAAGCCTGGTCCCTCTACCCCGCTGCACCCCGCAGGCTCACCACGCCGATGGCCGGGGAAGGAAGGCATCCCCCCGGCTCTCCCTCTCCTCCTCCATGCGACACGGTCCAGCTGGAGGACCATGGCCCCCGAGGAGGTTGAGGGAGAGAGTCCTGCACAGCCATGTAAAAGCAACCACCAGTCCACCACCCTGACAAACCTTCCAGAGAAAGGACATCCTGCATTAGAAGTTCAGCGATACTTGCCGCTACTGATTAGCATCACAGCGCTGTGATTTATTCTTTTTTCTCCTCTGAATGAGAACTATAAATATATGCTCATATAATACATGAGATTTTCTGAAATGCTTGAAGATGATATGTAATTTCTAATGCTTTATGCAGAGAGGAATATGCAAAGAGAAATATTTCAATATGTAGGCAGAAGGAAAAGCTCAGTACTTGACTGAAACTTTTATTTTGTGTTACATAAGAGTGAGATAATTATATCTAGTAATCTTCCCAGTATTCAGGACACTCTGAGTTTTAAGTCACCCTAGATATTTGGATTAATATAAGTAAAAAGCAGGACTGATTTCTATTTCCTTATGCAGATTGTATATTTAAAATCTGCTGTCTATTGTGTTTTCTGATACCTTCTTTCCCAGGAATCACCCTTTTTCCTATAGCATATTGTAAAGTCATAAAAACTGACCACTTAAAAACAAAAAAAGAAGAAAAAAGATTCAAAATCAGTGAAAATCACAAGTATTTTTCATGATAACTACTAGGTGCAGCTACGAGTATTTTAAATAAAAAACACCTTATAATACTTGAAAAAATACCTTACAAGCAAACATTTGGAAGGAGGACAGTCAAAATGTTATTATGAATTCCTTCCAAGTTCAAAAGAAAATAAATAATTGCAAGTCCCTTAATAGAAATTATTTTACATATATGTATTTAAAAGATTGGCTAACTTCGAGGATTGATATTTCAGGGCTAAACTTTGTTCTCTGCTGACCTTGCGTGGGGCTCTCCTTCCTGAGCGATTAGAACACCAGTTGTGTATGTGACCCCCAAACTGGAAAGAATTAGGGCCATCACACTTACCTCCTTACCCTCCCTCATGGCGTAGGGAGCAAGTTAGGTGACAAACTGGATCCACGTGCTGGCTAGTAAGTACCAACCGATGAAAGGCTACAGTCTGAAATAAGCAGCACTGCTTCCTGCCCTAGACTTAGTTTAACCTTAACAAGCCGTGGTTGCGATGGCGTGAACCCCATGACCAAGCACCACCTCCATTTCCCTGTGACTACTTTGGCAAGGTGCTTTTGATACCGTATGGAGACCGAGTGCTGGACATCCAGGGCAACGGCGCAAGGGCTCACTGCAGAATTCAGCCTCAGGCACACTCTTAATTTTACATGCTATACCTGCTGGCTAGCAAGACTGTAGCCAAAATATCAATCAAACTGGTGCCTGTGTGCTCTTTAAGAAATCCTGACACCGTATAGGAGGAAACCATCCTGTTTCCTAATGCCATTACTCTTAGGACAGATAATTATTCTTAGATTTCTATATATGGCTTTATCTTGTTCACCCTCTTTCTGCTGAATAGTATCTTAGGCACTGTCATCCTTTTCTCTACAGCTCACTTATGACTTAAACCAGTTTCGTCTCAGACAAACACACCAGTTCACAGTTAACAGCACGGCCTGCAAGGACTTACATCTTACAAAACGATTGCTTTAGGAATTGTTTTTTAAGACTTTTAAGAAAACATCCTTTGCTTTCTACTTATCTATATGGCTAGGCAAGGAGAAAAAGCTATAATGTAATTAAGGAAGTAATCAACTTTGTGTATCTGTTGCTGAGGAAGAAGAAACTGATCTACCATTTCAACCACAGGGAGCATTTCCACACAAAATGTGCTTAGCCATGTACAACAACAATCACAGCATTGTTAAGGTAAGCAGAGTTCTATAATTTTGGCAAGAGTATTTTTAGTACAGGACTCTATCAAGCTGGGCAAATCCATGGCTTCCACTATACAAAGCTACAAAACAAGAACAGTCAAGAGCGCTGGACTGACACTGGTCAAGTAAGTGGTCTCAGAATTGAACCCCATGTTTACCTCCCAGATGGACTTCCAATCTTGAATTCATCCTTGTTCAACCATAAATCCCTTCTTGGGCTGGCTGTATGCTTTTTTAAAACTCCCAGTTCAGATTGGCAGACTGCAAATTTGTCCCCCAGAACTAAATTTGGATTTAACAAACGTTTGATCTGGATTTGATTGCCAGAGACTTTGCAGGGAAACGGAGGAAAGCTTTGAAAACAGATGTGAAAATTATGCTGAGATGGTAAATTCCAGCTTGCTATGACCTTCACATTTAGGGACAATTAAAAGGTGACAGGAACCGTCCACTCCATTCATAATGCTCTCAAATCTGAAAGGGGGAAAAGAGACAAGCACTTCAGACTTGCTTTTCAGATTGCTGTCCAAGACTTGCGGTACTGGTGCCATGATTTTGGAGGAGACTGCAATGGCCTCCTGGAGTAAGGCTGGGGGAGAAGACCCTCCAATAGGCATTCTGAAGTGTGATCCAGATTCTGGAACACAGTTCTGCTCCTCTCACTGCAGTGCAATCTACCAAACCTTTTCTTCCCTATGAAACATGCATTTTTATCAGAACTACTAAGAAGTTAAAATAATTGAATTAAATTCTTACTAAGTTTTACATATAGTAGAAATACTTGGGTAATTTACTTTCCAACAGATTTCAATAAATAAACGTTACTTTCATAGCAGTGAACAGACTTATTGCAACACCTGACTCAGCTGACATTTCAGTGATCTTTAAATTCATTTATACGCATTGTAAACTTATGTGGTAGGTAAATTCATGTTATTTCTATAAATACTTCTGTAAAACTTTGCAATACAAGGAAAAGTCCTCTGAGAATTACTTCAGTGAAAGATGTTGTATGCCAGTAAGAAAGGTAATTGCTACTGGTAATGTATTTTACTTTTTGTATTCTATAATAATGTTCTTATATAACCAAATACAAAAAGGCAGTGACAGTGTTTCCAGCCCTCTCTCTCCTCCTCTTCCATCAACACGGTCTACCAGTTTTTGTTGCTAACCTCTGGCACTGTGATTTCTAAAGGCAACACATTCAACACAAGGTGCACAAAGGCATTAAGATTTTTATGTTAAGAGCAGGGAAGAGAGAATAATGAAAAAGCTTAAGAAAGTGATAGATACCATCTTTAAAAAAATGGATAAAAGCCATGAAGTGCGAAAATGTTTCAAGGAGAAACAACATTTACCTTTATGTACAGCACAAAGCTGTATTTTTCACATCAATATTAAATTTTAACGATGTCAATAACATGCTGGCACAGGCAGTAGAAGCCAATACTCCATGCAGGTTTCAAAAAATATTAATATTTAAACAAAGAGATTTAGACATTCCTTTCCTGAAGGTAAACTCAAGACTAGCATGAATTCCCACAACAACCAAGGACCATCTAAGTATGGGTCACTCTTTAACCTTACAGCCATCAGTACGCAGGATCAAACTTGCTGACTGAGCACACAGACAAAATTTTATTACTCTGGTTTAAAAATAGGGCACATCTCAAAGACGATACCAAAGCTGTACTTCAAATGGACTTTAAGTTGAAGCTTAGTGTGCTGAACTTTAAAATAAAAGAGGGGGGAAAAAAAAAGGAAAACACAAGAGCAGCTTCTCATCTTTCTGTCTCTTCGAAGGACTCTTGCTATGAAGTCCCAATTTACAACAGCAAAAGAAATGAAAAACCCCACTCCTACCAAATTAATGCCTTTCCCTGTTTTCCAGCAAGTCTTTGTTTCTTTATATCCCTCTTGCACTCTGTGATACCAAAGGCCAAGGAATGTCTGCCTGATTGCCTGTCTAGACTATGCCTAATCTCACGCTCCACAAACATACCCAAGTGAGCTCTCAACTCATCACATCTCACAGCAATAGCCCTCACATGGTGCTCACTCCGCTAACCTGCATGGCTGCTCCACATCAGCAGAACAAGGTCTAGATAAATCTGCACTGTACTGTGTGGTTCTTTACAAATGTATCCTAAAACCAGAAGTAAACACATATAATCAAACGGTCATAACTTTTTATGTATTTGGTAGGAATTATAATAATCAGCAGTGAATAAAACAGTAGCTTTAATAATTAGCTTGCATATCTAAAAGAAACCTTATCAGGATAGCAAGATAACCTTTGCTGTTGAACTGAGCAGGGCTAAAAATCAAAAGTTATTTCCAACATGATCACAGACATTAAGAGGAAAGCTTGCTGTAATTGCTTTGTACTTGATCATATGAGCAGGCCAGTACATACCGTGTCTGTTTTCCCATTCTTAATTCTATTTCTTCATCTTTTTTCAGACTGCATCCAGGTGCTTTTTTCTTGTCAGAGTATAGTCTGAATGCTCCCTTGAGGGCAAAGGAAGTCTTACTAAAAGCACACTTATCACATATGGGAATTTAGTAATGGCTCATTTATTCTCTTTGAAGACTGTGGTCAGAGGTCTTTAGATGCGATACACTGCATCTGTGTGTATTCATAATGGAGTACTACATTCATTGTACTTCACAATGTGTGGCATAAATAAACACATGTTTGTGTAACCACACCTTGAAAGATTAGTTTTCTACTTCAGCTCTTCCAGTTTAAATAAATACACTTCACGCTCTAGACAGAGATGATCATATTGATTGCTGCTATTTGAGTAGCAGACAAACTATTTGTTTAAATGACGCTTTGTCATCTGGAGAGCCTGGAAAAATCTTTGGTGAAGGTTAGCAATTGTTTATGATAGGTAAAAAAATTACAGTCTTGTGCACAAAGTTCTCCTTATTAGAAAGGCTAATTCAATTGCCTGCAACGACATTATTTCATGTTCATCTGGCATGCATTATTTTTCAAAAAAATCCCTCATTTACTGACAAAATTAGAAAGGTTCAGCTGTCTCAAAGGTTACAGAACATCATTTTATGCTTCTCCCTACAGCAAAACCAAGATGATATTTTATTTCACTTCCTTCCACTTAATAAAATATTTTTTTAAAAATACAACAAACTATTAACCATGGTTTAAGTATGCCAACATCACTGTCCATTTTCATAGCAAAGTATTTCACCTGGTTATATTTATAAAGGAAGACCAATTTAGATATCACATTCCCACTTGATATTTGGACTTAATAACTGCAAATAAAAACAATTAAAAGGCATTTCTGTTTTTACCAGCTTTACTCTGCATTTGAGAGAGCACTGGCGATGCCAGTTGCATTTTTCACCTCATCTTATGATAGTCCAATAGTATTTAGAGTAAGTCTTTCTCCAGACAGTGCCAGAGAGGGACAAGATCAGGAGGAAAATTAAAGCTGAAAAAGAAGCAGGCATGCATGAGAATGAAGAAAAGGGAAAACAAAACACAGTCAATGCATGTTTTGTGCTACTGCTTTGAAAACTACCAGTTGCACCATCATCAATCTCATCAGTAGAAAAAGAACTCTGCTAATCCAGCTGCATAACACAAACTTTTTTTTAAGTCATTACACACATAAAATTTAAGGGGTGCTCTACAAAAACAGTGAATTTTAAATACATTAATACTAGAACAAAAAAACATCTCTTTATGGTATTAATTCTTACCAATTGCACAGCAGTATAGCATAGTCAAGACACAGCTACATTTTCCTAATGCAGAGGAATATTTCTTTAGAAATTGAAGTACAATAAAGTTAAAAGATATTATTTTATTTATAAAAATTTACCTAATAATTTACCAACATAATTTTTCACGTTTTCTAAACATAGTAGAAACTAAATCCAATGCCAGTAGACATTTTGCAATTAAGGAAAAGGGTGGAAAACACTTCAGGGAAGGAATGTGGAGTGAGAAAATTGCATACAATCAGGAAGTGGATGTGGAGCATCACATCACAATGTAGCATCTCTTATCTCTCAAAAGGCAGAAAAGCCAACTTAATGCACCTAGAACTACACCCTGATAGAATTTATTAGTCTCCAGACCTATATTTTGCATCTCAAATATTTTCCATCTTTAAGCGTGATTTGAGGATTAAAAACTGTCCTTTCTTTCGTCTTCAGGTTCACACATACTTTTCCATTTTTGTAGTTCCTGAGAATCATTTGTCTTCCATACTTCAGCAAAGGATTGTAGCTTTTTTCTGGGGAAAAAAAAAATTCAATCAAAATACGGACACATTTTTAAATTAAGCACATCAAACCTTGAAAGCCCTACAGTCATCTGCAAAATTTTATACATAGTAAAAAACAGACGTTGCATAGCTCAAAATGTTACATGATCTTTAAAGAATCAGTTAACATTTTCCAGTATATGTATTCCAGCTCTAGGACAGCCAACAATTTAATTTTATAACTAAGTTATAGTACCAGAAGCATTGACAAGATGGAATAAAACACTGAGAAAGAGTAAATGATTAGAAATAAACAGTATTGTAGTTTGCCCCATTTAATTTTCAGCATTCAGTTCCTACAAATTTTCACTTGTAGAATCATAAAGAGAGAAGACATTTTCAAAATAAATGAGTACACATGTCCTTCCTATTTTCTTTTTAGTATTTTTTTATTTAAGAAGGACTTATAAGAGCTGTGACAAATAATAACAAGACGTTTAAAATGGGTCAACACACATTCCTGATGACAAAGATGTCAAGACTGGATGGAATTACCCAGTGGATTTTCTTACATAGTATGAATGTGATTTAAAAAAATAAGACAAGGCAGCTGGCCTGTGGGTATTGTGACAACACAAGTATCCCGCTATGAACAGGTCTGATTTTGATTCCCAAGATAGTTATAATATTTGTTTCCTACCACAGATATACCATACCCATTTTTAAATTAGGTAAGCACTCTTTTTGGGAAGAAAGTAGAGAAGAATACTTTGACATTTAGATCACGCCATGGCAATAAGTGAAAATAAAGTGAAATGTACAGAAGAAAATATTTCTATCATGACCTACATAGAAGAACTGGAAAAATTAAAAATTACATAATACAATAATTTATGCACTGTGAAATCATCAAACACATTTGACATTTTATTTTTTACTGACTTGAACTCCAGGTGTATACAGATGCATGAAGTTCCCCACAAAGTACATGCAAGAGGTCTACAATGAAGGAATAACCTGGTACAGGTCAAAGCTGATGAATTAGCACTGTGGTGGATGTTCCTTGTCCCTGACTTCCTACAGAACACTGTCTCTCATTAAAGGGAGAGGCAAAAGTGTCAAACTTCAGGTGGGGTAGGCTGGTCTAGCAGGCAGGGCTGCAGTCTCAAGGTTACCTTTACTAACTACTGTCAGGATCAAGGGCCTCCTCCTCCTCTCGCTCCTACCCTTTCCTCCTTGAGGTAGTAAATGCCTGTTCACACGTAACATCCAGAAATTGAACTTGCGTGGTATCAGCTGGAGAATGAACGACTTTTCAGCCGGATCAGATCCCTGACCTGGCCTGTTTTGTGGTCACAGAAAAACCAGCCCTGGCACCATGGAGAAAAGGCACCCCCTCCAGCAGCAGCGTGGGGAAGATGCGCTGGGGGAGCCTGCTCCAGCGGGTCCCTCCCATGTACCTGCACTCGTGTAGCTCGGGTGCCAGCAGTCTGCAGTGAAGTGTGGGGTGCGGGGGCTTCCAGACTGAGTGATGTCAGGATAAAGGACTCATCGCAGCTTTAGATTCATTATTTATTCTTTTTCTGTTTAGCCTTTTTCACTTTAAGAATACAAGCAAATTACATACCAAAAGCTGAAATACAGATGGTAGCTTACATATTCAAAATGGTAAATGGGACACAATTAAGTCCCATAATTAAGACTGCCCAGTCAGCCCTCACTCTCTCTCTCTACAGGCACTGTAAATCAGTCTAACTACATCATCCCACACTATTTTTACTGCTCATAGGTTTTGTATGCAATTAACTCTCTTTAGCAATGGAGACATGCTAGAACTCTATCTGTACCCTGTCCAAGTAATACGCTAGCATGATTTCCATAAACCAAAGGGACATATTATGCCTTAATTTTATTACACAATAACTCCGGCCTTCCAGCTCATATTCTCACCTTTCTGAACAATGTTTTTTTCTTGATTTTAGAACCCTACATATCCTATAACAACAGAGTTAAGACATTGCTAGTAATTTGTTGTCTTATTATTGTCAATTGTGAGCTATTATTTCCAATTAATGTAAGCTACCATACTATTTTTCCCATAAGCTGTCATGTATGTTCAATAGAATGTTTTTATTTTGCTTTCTTAAAAGGGGATAAAAACTGGTGTTAAGTGCTAAGCTCTGTTAAGTTTCAAAAGAATTGCTTGCATCTACAAATAATTAGTACTTAAGATTTTCAAATATGAAATTATTCTGTCAGGATTACGTACGACCATCAGGCAACACAGGTCTTGATTTATTATATTCCTAAAGGGCTATTTGAATTTTACTGATAGGACTACCACTGAAATAACAGCAACAAAAAATTCAGTGGAAAGGAATATGTACATTACCATATTTTTATATCTAAACTGTGTACATATTACAGGTTTTATAAAGGTGATGTTATTTGATACACATGGGAATTTTCATAACTAGTCTAATATATAAGGTACATATACCTCTAAATCAAAATTGGGTATCAGAAAAATATTACAATCCTTAGCCTTTTAGTAAAATTTTATGTGGTTTGGGGGGCAATCAAAATATATTATAAATATTTATTAAGTTAAACTAGAAGAAGAATATCCACATTCCCTTCTACATTACAGCATGCAAATACAATTTCAAGTTCCAAATCTCAATTGGGGAAAAAAAAAGAAAATCACAATTATTCTGACCTTTTCATATTCACTATAGTCTCCAACTCCTTTGATTTATGAGCTGCCTTCTTCAAGATTTCTTCAGGAATATCTGCCAGTTTGGCAACATTTAGCCCATAACTCCTTGCAGAGACTCCTTTAGTTATTTGATAAAGAAAAGTGATAAATTCAGGATTCTCTTCATCTTCAGATCCTAAAAAAATAAAACCAAAATGAAAACCTCCTCTATTATGTTAATAAAATGTAATAGACCAAAGACTGAAATGGCAAAGACTGTGGTCTCATTAACATTCATGCTTCCTGTGTGATTTATTCCATTGAAGAAGTATGAAAGAAAAATGTTTCCTTGAGACCACACATTTTACCTACCCATTGTGAGACTGAAAAAGCCCTTTACTATACTTTTACCTGGTGTCTTATTAAGCAGACTCGTGTATGTGTAAAACTTAGAATCTTTGTATGTCAAATTGATTAGTTATGCTGTAATTAGGATATTACATCTGATGACTGCTGAGCAATAATAGAATAACAGAAGTATCAGTAATCCCGCGGCCGAGAAACCCATAACTACAGCACAAGTCTGCTGCCTACCAGGAGTCCAGTAGTCATAGCAAAATGCTCAGGAAAAAACAAAGGTTAGGATGGTGGTTCTTCCACTAGGGATTCTTTCTATTCCATGACAATAAGATGGAAACATAGAAGCCATCATTACCAATCTGATGACCCCTTCCTCTTCCTCTTTAGACATCCTTGTTGCATCTCTGCACAATCCACACCTTGGGTAAAGAGCTGAAAAACTATGGCACCATTCACTGCCATTCATTCTTCTGACATAAAAATGCTGGTTTTTGGAAACAGAGGGGATTTCCATAAATGCTAATGGCTTACGATAATTTGATCTAAGTGATTCAAGACAAAAATTGGGAAAAAACATGCCATAAACTCACCTTTAATAGAACAATTAAAATGTTAAGACACCAGGCTGAGTAAGAACTGCAGATGTGTTGCTGCGTACAGGCTGTGTGCTTTCTGGAGCAAAACAATGAAGGCTACACATGGCCTGAAGGTTCAGGTCAATTAACATTGAAAGCAGAAATGCTGAAGAAGTACAGTGAAACAAAGTATAGGGTTTCATGGACCCAATAGTTAGGGAATAGCAAGTATTGAATGTTGGTAACATCTCAATTGCCAGAGAGTCTCAGAGATCAACAGTTCAATTAATGAACTCTCTGAGAAAAGGACATGCTGATGCTCAGGAGAGCCATGCTCTTAACTGGGAACATGAGCGTGGCTAGATAGTGCTCACCTAAACACAACATTACTTTGAACTACTTGTGCTCAAAGTTAACACATATTTCAGGGATCCCTATTTCTAATATTAACCAGAGTCAAATCCTAAATTTTTACACTAACTCTCCAATAATAATTTTAGAAGTGATAGATTATATATTTAAACACATTGTTTAGTGACAAATACTAACACATCCTGTCCTTATTGGTTTACAAAGTAAGCAGATAATACAATATTAAGAATGAAGTAGGGGGAAGGTTAATGGCAAATACCATGTCAATTCTTAAAAAATTCTGGGAATGATTCAGGGAACAGGCCGTAACTTGGCAAACTGGGAAAACCAGAATCAGAGCAGAATTGTCAAGCACCTGATTAAACCTGATACATCAAGGAAAAAAAAAAGAATCAAAGCTCTTTCTATGGATGGGAATCCTACATCACAAATCTGTTGTAAGTTTGGAAGCCATGTAAGTAAGAGAGAGGCAGTGGAAAAACCGTATGTGGCTTTTGATGAGTCCTGCAACAAATGCTCTTCTGAAAACTAAGAAGGAGTAATCTAAAAGGAAGGCCTTTGCATTTGTAAATAATTGGTTAAAAGATAGGAAACAGACAGCAACAGTCAGTTCTCACCACAAAGGGTGATTATTGCTGCAGTTAGACGGAGCTGTTCAACGCACCCATTATCAAACAAGAAAATGGGCTAAGCAGTAAGCTGACAAAACTTTACTGAAAATACTAACTTATTTCGTTAATAAGTTAGTATTATTACTTATTAACTGTGACAAGAAGAAGAAAAGCTGTAATTCTTCTGCCTGGTAAAAACAGAACTGAATAGGATTATGATAAGCAATCTACAAAATTAGGCATGGCATAGAGAGGATGAACAGAGATTATTCCTCTGCCTCTTCTAATTCAAGAACTGGGACCATAAAGTGAAGCTACATGGTGTTTCAAAACTTTCAAAGCAAACAAGAGGTGGTTCTTCACATAATGCAGTGTTAACATTTTGGAGCTCCTTGACAAAGTAGGACAAAGATGCTAGATGTACACAAGGATACTCAGGACACATAGACAACTTCATTGAAATGAAATCCATTGAAGATATTAAAAACCAGAAAACACATCTACTCTTGAAGCTCCCTAAATAGCAAATGTTCACAGTGAGATTTAGAGAGTTGCCATATGTTTGATCCCTAATCCCTCCTCCCTAATCCCTTGTATTTGGCCACTGTGAGAAACTGGATACTGGGCTAGGTGAATGTTTTATCTGACCTATCTCAGTCATCCTTACATTAAATCTTCATCAGCCCAGTAGATCCATTCAAGACGAGGTGAAAGCACAGAGCAAAGTCACCACCTTCTCTCTGTCTTCAGACCAGCTTTAACTGAAGTCTGCCTCAGGGGATCGATATTTTTAAAACATGCAAAAGCTGGTTTACATAGGCTGAGTTCCTAGTGCCATGATGCTGCACATGCTGCAGTTGTTTTGGGTTTTTTCCAGTTTACTCAGTTTAGCTTCCTATTTTCCCAAAGGGCATGGCATACTTAAGCTTTAAGGTTGGACCATGTGATCCTTGAAGTCCCTCCCAACCTGGTATTCTATGACTTAAATCTATGATTCATGATTTAAATGTGAAAGAGAAATGGTTGTTCACTCTTCAGGCCCCCCAAATCTGTGTATAGTCTCATACTCTAGCGTTTGGATGTATAACTTTCACACTGAGGTTTAAATTACCATAACAATTTTACAATTTCTGCCTATGCCTACAGTGCCAAATCTCAGGATTTATGGATTTATACTGTACCTTTTTGTTCAGCACTTTCCTCCTCATTCACCAAGAAAGCCATGTGGTAATTACCAACTTTTTCTGGATACGCCTTCTCTAGCTCACAAACTGAGGGATAGTGAGTGACAAACAGTGTCAGCGACTCCACCTACAATAATTAGACACATAAGAAGGTTTCGCTTTAAATTTTTTTAAACACAGCAGCATAGCACTGATATCCTTTATCCACACCCCTTTGCTCTCAGTTTAGACATGCCACATTTCTACAACGAAATACACGCCACGTCAAAGTCAGCCTACCATAGTACATGTTGAAAAAGCATTTACAGCATTTACAAGCATGTGTCAGGTTGAACACTTACATCTCTGATAAAATGTTCAACTGTAGCATAAGCAATAGCGATTCCATCGTGTGTGCTAGTTCCTCTTCCCAATTCATCCAGAATTACTAGTGATCTTGAAGTTGCTTTTCTTATTATCTCAGCAGTATCTGTCAGTTCTTCCATAAAGGTACTTCGGCCTTTGTAAATGTTGTCTGCTGCACCCATTCTGCATTGGGATACAAAACAGATCAATTTATTAAGTTCAAATAAGTGCCAGATAATGCTGGACCCCACCTTCCCCCGATAATAAAACTACTTTGTTATAAATCGATTGTTGCTGCTCCAAGCAGAGCAGAAAAACCCAGGCAGAACATTCGCCTTCCAGAACAAACTACTGCTTCGGAGAAAAAAGCAAGAGCAGCACATGGTGCAGATACAAGGGTACTCTACAAGACTGAAAGCCCAGAGGGAACTCCTCATGTACCATTAAATAAGGGCTTGCTTGCATTCCCCAAGAGAACAGAGTATACAGACCCTATGGGCATCTGGGGAAGTACGGACTATCGGGACAGCAGAGAATTTTTGTGGGCCATCAGTAATCTAGTCCCAAGATAAATCCACAGGCAGAAATCTCAGCATCCCATGTCCACTTCTGTAATTGTGAGAAAATGAGGAGGTAGACAAGGGTGTATTTCTTAGCATGCAATTCTTCCATCTTGACAAAATGTACAAGGCGGCCTGCTGTTCCCTTCAAAAGGACGCTGGGAATTCAGACCAGTCAGCTGACTAGAAGGATTCCAGCAAAGGTAGTTGTGAAAATGAATTTTACTTTTTTGGTTTAGTTCGAACATTTAATTTGTATGTTTTTTAAATGCTAACAACACTTGAAAGTATCAGATATTAGAATTTCCACGTAGAGACAGAATGGACACTCATGTGACCAAGTTTTTGTGCATCCAGATACAGCAGTTAGTTCCCTCAGGCAGTAACAAAATAACAATTATTTCCCCTAATTCCACAAGTACACAATCTTCCCAGCATGCTTAAAGGTGATTTTAAGAGAAAAACTTCTCTCCTCATCCTTTTACACATCTGTCCTTGAACCTACTGGTCTCCATGCAGGTGAGCTTCTCCTCTGCTCCACACACGTACACATGCACATACACACAAATTCTTTCATGTTTCATACAAGTCTTTCAGCAGTGTTTCAGATTCACACAACCTTCAATCCTTAAATTCTATCTCAAATTGTGAAATTACAGTTCTCATCTCAGAATCCTGTTGGCAATTCACCCTGTTTATCTCTTCTTCTGCAGCTTTCCTTACCTATTCAATTAATACGTTTTCTACCTGGAAGAAAGAACATTTCCTTTTTCCATATATGCTTTTCGATTACATTAATTGCATTACAATATCACTTCTGAGATAGGTTATCACTAGCAAGCCACTGAGTAGGTCTGTAAAAATGGATTTGTTCACTCTCATCAGCCAATAATACAGTTACATACAAGCCACATTGATTTAAGGGAAACTGATTCATGGGCTTAGCATACTACATTTTCAAATATAACAGCTGGCCACAACGGTATTTAAAGCCAATCAAAACCTTTAAAGACAATCCCAACACAGCTTTTTTTTCTCTCAGTCTTTTGCTACATCTCTCTCTAATATAATTGCTTCTGTTGCCTACAGAAGCACTACGAAGATACTCATCATTTTATGAGGATCTTATGATTGTCAAGAATAATTGACCACCAATACCAAAATCTAGCAGGTTGGACCCAGTACAACTATGATTTCTATATATTCCCTGTTTCGTGCCCTGGAAATTTAGTATGGTGGCATGCGTAAGTTCACAACACACAAATCTTCAATTATAAATGAAGAAATTTTGGTTGGAGATGGGTATTATGATATAATGAGCAAACTGAGTGTTTTTATTTCATTGCATATGCACTACATACATACACAGTATGTATACTCCCACATACTCCAAAAGAAAGGTGATTTTGCAGATAAGCTAATTAAACTTTACATTAATTTCACTGAATTAAATATATAATTCAGGATATCAAGGCATTGTGTAATTAACATTTTATTAATCCTGACTTAGTACTGCCATCCTTTTAAATGCTGGTTTAAGAACTATGAACATATTACTCAAGTTCTCGCAGTGCCCCCAACACGTCCCAGTCCCTTTCCTAGTTTGGTTCAGTTGTCATGTACTGCTGTAAAATCAACAATCCCCCTTTATTGCAATATTGCACATATCTATAGAGAACAATATAAATTATATCTATTTTTAACACTATTATTAGTTCACCAGAACAACAAATACTTTTTATGTCTGAACAATCTCTGCCTCCATAATGGGCAACTTTAGCCTTTGTTTCCAACTCTAGGATTATTATTAGTATTTTTTCATCATTTCCATTTGGCTTTTCATTACAGAGACAGCATCTAACAGGCTGTCTGTTCTGTCTGTTCTGCACCTATGATGATTACACTGAGAGTTCTCAGTTCTATTTTTCTCTTAGATTGCATTATTTCCATAAATCACATAGTCCCTCAAAATCATGTGGTCATTTTGTATCTAATTTACATTCATGAAAATAATTTTCAGAACTTCCTCACTAAATGATCAAGATACAAACAGAAATGAGTATTATCTTTCTCTTGTTAACAACAGCTGCAAAAGAAGCCTTTCTTTTCAGTATCTTAAAACCTTCAAATCCAACTCAGGCTTATCCACAGATTAAAAAAACCAAACATGTATTTTTAAATGACATAAAAACTCTTAAGTGTCATCTTTTGAAAATGGGTAAAATTGTTCTTTCTGCCTTTGTCCTTGACACTAGAAGAATCATACTTGTTTTTTCAACTTACGTGATAAGCAATATTATCCCAGAAACTAGTAAGAATAGCTTTTAATGTGGATGATTGCATTTATAAAACTAACAGTTAATACACAGCAAGGCATTGCTCCCTAACTTTATACTATATTATTCCTGAAACAATAAAGTTTTTGAGTCAAAACACCTACTGCTTAAACAATTCTTTTTTTCAAGTTTAAAACAGCCATAATAAATACCACTAAACTTCTACAAGCTGCAGTTGCTTTGAATTTACATTTTAATGTAGTTTGCCTCCTAAATGTTTTTATACATCAAAACATTAGACTTCTTCCTGCAATATTCAATAGAATCCAGATGCTTTACTACTGTTAGCAACTACTCTAGAGGTAATATCTGGGATTGCTATCCCTATGAATTGTTAGGGTAAAAATGCTAAAAGAAATGTTACAGACACTCATCTTAGCCTTAATGCTGCCAGCACTGAAACCATGGGTTTTTTTGTTTGCCTTTTTGTTTTTATACATGGTCCTAATAAAGTCTCCAAGACTCACTTCCTCTGGAAAGCTGCCTACAATGGGATCAGATATTTTTTGAACTTTTATATGTACACAAAAATAATTTGATTACATTTTAATGCTGCATTCATCACTACGGTAGATGACAATATAGTGGAATATGTGAAGAGGTATAAGCTGTCCCTGTGTAATGCAGACATGTTATGCACTACCCAAATTTTCTTTTCTTCCCCCTCTTCATTAAGAAAAAAAAAAGAGGGGGGGGCGGGGGGAGAAGCACCCAGGGGAAAAAGGTTACAACAGAATAAGACAGTCACAAAAGCAAACCATCAGAGCAAGAACAATGCCACCCAACTTCACCAGCTCTATTCCTCTTCTTGTTAAAACACCAGCCAATGGAAGTAGTGACAGAGTTAATATGAAAACTTCAATTTCTGCTATGGATTTTCTCATGTCTATGTTCAGAAAGATTACTGCATTCTGCCCACAAGGAACGTGCAGATATCTAATGTGAAGAGTGCCTCTTTAGTGCTGGCAAGAGATCCATCACTCTTCAGCAACTGCAATTTGGCTGGAAACCACTTGTTATAATGTCTCTTTGACAGCCAACCAAATTTCAAAAAATTAAAAGTTCATCTTATAATGTTCAACACATTTATTATGTAAAGAAGAAAATAAAAGAGGAGGCATTATCTCCTTCCAGTGCTAGGTTTCAAGTGGTGAAGATTCCTGTCAATAGCCTCAAAAAAACAACAGGGAGGCAATGTTTTCATAAATTAATTTTTGGAGGGTAAGTTAGATTATATGGCAGCAGTAGCTACCTTTATGTAAACCAACTAGCACTATATGCTTAACCTGTATGTTATCCCTTAGAGAAAAAGATACAGATTTCCTTATTCCGCAGTAGCAGCATTGAAATGGTTGGTCTTTTAACCTGCTCTCCTGAGCCAACACATGCATGCAGTACTCACCTTTTCCAATGCAAGTGCTCATCATCCTGGGAAGGTATCTTATGACATTTTGTCCTACAAGGCCCTTAAATATTGGGATTTTTTTTAATGATATAAGCTATGATTCCACTCAGAAACCACCAGAATTAAATAGCACAACTTTTTTCCTTGCATCTGAAGAATTTTTATGTAGTCAGTATCCATTTAAACTTGTTCTCTACAAGCACAAACTAATCTTGCTATGTGTGTCCCTGTAAGTCACCTCAAACTCTGGTGCTTTCAAGCTTTTGATCAGCTAGACCCATCTGAGGGCTTTGACAGCCATCCATGAAAAATTTCTATGGAAGGAGGAAATTTAAATTCAGGCCACTGAGGTCTTCTTGGAGCTCCTTCTCTCAGCATCCTGTTATTACTGCTTTCAAAAAAACAAAGTGTCCTGGAGAAGGGGATAGACTTGCAGACTTGATGATTAACAGTGGCATAAGAACAAAAGCATAACCCAAGACATTGCTTTGGAGCGGAGCAGAGAGGCCCCCACAGAACTGCAGCTGACCTCTGCACCAGTCCAGAGGTGAAAGTGACAACATGTAGGTTAAAGAGAAATTGTTCCAGTATGACAGAAGGCAGTGGAAAAAAAAAAACAAATTCCGAAACAGAAAAATGAATCTGAAATCCAGAAGCTTCTAGTTAAGGTTTTTTCCATGCTATCTTTCAAATAAGTTATCCAACATGCTGTTAGTTGGCTTGATTATAAAATTAAGGGCACTGTGTGGGCCTCACATATTTTATTATTCTTTTATACTATTGTGAATCCCTCACACTGCTTGTGAAAATGACCAAGCAGCCCAAGAGCTCCCAGTGGTAACAAAAAGCAACTACATAGCACTGAACAAACCTAGAAAACA